ACTCACCAGATTTTCAAAAATATTTGGAAGCCAGCATCTCCTATGGCTCCCAATTTTCTGAATGTTTCCTCCACCTCTATCTTCTTGCTGCTTTCTCCTGCCATCAGAATACCCTCTGCCCTAAAGTGCACTGGACTGGGAACCAGGAGCCTATGAGGTTCTGTTTCATCTCTTACGCTGACTGGTGTTAATAATCCCATGTATGTCACAAACTTTCATACTGAACAAGGCCTCATGACCTTAACATAGGAGACAGGTAAGCATTATTCCCTCCTTTTTACGGATAGGTAACTGATCATCTGTGAGGGTGCCCATAGTCACTTTTGGTAGAGCTATGAATAGAACTCATGACTATGCCAAGTCCATGTGCATGTCCATAGAGTCTTTAAAGTGAGGCTGCTCCTGCATACCTATCTTCTAGACATACACATGAATGAGGACTATATCAATGCAAATTAATTATTAACATGCAAATAGCTTCCAGGAGTCCTAAATTAGTGCTGTGACCACTAGATCACACTCCCCTCCCAGAGCCAAGAAGAGAAACCAGGAATCTTGATTCACTACTGCCTGCCAAATAGCTTTGTAATCAATGGCAAACTGTGTGTCAGCCTCCCCACTAGTGGCTGATTCACATGATTAACCACCTCCTACTGCTACCATCTAAAGAACCCAGTCCTTTAGCTCAAGTGGTAGAGGTCTGTGCTGCAGGTCAAAGGTCCTCTTACCCTCATACAAAAGGTTAAAAACCTCTTTCTAGATCCCATCATGGCACTCCTTACCCTAATGGAGTTCTGCTCCCCCCACCCCTCGCCAAGGGTCTCTCATACCCATAAGATATTCCTCCTGCCCAAGACTAGAGCCTCCAAATGGTTTTAACTTTCCCCCTTATGATTTTCTCCTAGGAAGTGGGGGTCCCATCCATTTCCTCCCTGCCCCCAAAACCAGAATGCTGGGTGACATGACCAAGCCTCAAAGAAAAGACAATTATAAATCTCTATTTACGTGGGGGACCATCCTCCCCGTCACCCTGGATAAACCAACCCATGCAAATTTACACCCAGTACTTGTCAAAAAATCCCACTGAACCTTCCCCAGCTCCTTCACCACACAAATCACAACTGAAGCCAAATCCAAAGGACCCCCACATACACTCTTTGACCAATCTGCAAGTATGCTACTGCTGCTACAAGGGAGAGACTAATCTCCCCCTCCACCCCAAACAGAAACCGAGGCTGCTGGGGGTGGGCTAGAGCTGTGGTGCCCCAGTGCTGCTGCCACCTATACTTAGTCTCTGTAATAGCTTTGTCCTGCACAACCCCAGAGAAAGTTGTTTCAGCATCTTCTTTCAGAACTCCTCTTCCTGGCACATGTACGTCGGTTTGTCAACTCTTGTGGGCCTCATGCTATGTGCTGATAGCCCCAGCTGCTCTGTGAAAAGCATGAGAATATCAGCTTCCATTTTTAAAAAATAGAAAGATTTGAAGGCTCTTGGTAGTGAAGAAAAGCTGGGAATTGTGAACCTAATGGTTCCGAAGCCAGAAGACCAAGACAAAAGAAGCCTGAATTCAGCCTTTTTAAAAATCTAATGATTTAAGGCAATCTCATGATTTTTGAACATTTGGGGTTGGCAACACTGGATTCAGTTTCCTCCACAGTCCAGAGACGTACTCCTACTACACAGATGCCTTCTGTGAGTGGTGGTAGAGGTATGGGGGGAGGTTTTTAGAGGGCTCTCAACCCCTCAAGGCAGTTCTAGCTGCTGGAAGGGTCAGGTGGGCTGGACCCACATTGATACAGCAGACCCTAGATCCACATCCCACTGGGGGAGGGTTTGGGGTTTGTTTGTTTTAATGGGACTCTCACCCACCCCAAAACACATACAAACAGTTGGAGTACAAACCCAAGTGGTTGCTAGAGTAAAGAAACGGTTAGCTGTATGGTGCTTAGTACATAGTTACCTGCCAGAGGTGAAAGTAAGCTGGTACGGCGTACCGGTAAGAGCCAGTACACTGTGCCAGACTGGACTGGCTTCTCCAGCGGTGATTTAAAGGGCCCGGGGCTCCGGCCGCTGTGGGGAGCCCCGGGCCCTTTAAATCACTGCTGGAGCTCTGGCAGCTGGGCTCAGGTGGGGATTTCAAGGTCCCAGACCTCCGGCCAATGTGGAGCCCCAGGGTCTTTAAATCTTGAAAGGCCCTGCCTCTTCCAGTTGAGACCATGCCTCTTCCGGTTGAGGCCACGCCCCGCTCAGGACTCCAGTGTACCAGTAAGTCCTTTAAGTTACTTTCACCCCTATTACCTGCAAACAACAGGCTTGGTAGTACAATGCAGTAGATTGGGAGACAGAAGACCTGTGTTCTAGTCCCAGATCTGACTTACTGTGTGACCTGGAGCAAATCACCTAGTCTCTCTGCTTCTCTTCCTAAACTTTTTCTCTCATCTATTTAGACTGGAAGCTCTTCAAGGCAGGCACTGTCTCTTGTGAGTAGCACAGAGGGTCCTGAGTTTGGCTGAGGGTTGGAGGTGCTACTGTCATACCAACAATACAACAATTCATAGCAGATTCATTGGAAGATGGGTTGTCAGGTCATTCTGGTTTGGTTGTGATTTTGGCCAAAGGTATTGGCTTGGAATCCTAATATTTATGGTTCCCGTCTACTCTGACGGGAGTTGAACAGGTTGATACTAGGGATGTCAATTAATTGCAGTTAACTCACACCATTAGTTCAAAAAATTAATTGTGATTAATTGCAGTTTTAATCATGCTGTTAAACAATAGAATACTAATTGAAATGTATTAAATATTTTGAATGTTTTTCTGTTTTCAAATATATTGATTTCAATTACAACGCAGAATACAAAGTGTACAGTGCTCATTTTATTACAAATATTTTCATTGTAAAAATGATAAAAAATAGTATTTTTCAATTCACCTCAGACAAGTACTGTAGTGCAATCTCTTTATTGTGAAAGTGCAACTTGCAAATGTATATATTTTTTTCTTATATAACTGCACTTAAAAACAAAACAATGTAAAACTTCAGAGCCTACAAGTCCACTCAGTCCTACTTCTTGTTCAGCCAATTGCTAAGACAAACAAGTATGTTTACACTTACGGGAGATCATGCTGCCCACTTCTTATTTACAATGTCTCCTGAAAGTGAGAACAGGCGTTCACATGGCACTTTTGTAGCCGGCATTGCGGTATTTATGAGCCAGATATGCTAAACATTCATATGCCCCTTCATGCTTCAGCCACCATTCCAGAGGACATGATTCCATGCTGATGATGCTCGTGGAAAAAAATAATGCATTAATTAAATTTGTGACTGAACTCCTTGGGGGAGAATTGTATGTCTCCTGCTCTGTTTTACCCACATTCTGCCATATATTTCATGTTATAGCAGTCTCGGATGATGACCCAGCACATGTTGGGTTTGTTTTAAGAATACTTTTATTGAAGATTTGACAAAATGCAAAGAAGGTACCAATGTGAGATTTCTAAAGATAGCTACAGCACTCGACCCAAAGTTTAAGAATCTGAAGTGCCTTCCAAAATCTGAGAGGGACGAGGTGTGGAGCATGCTTTCAGGAGTCTTAAAAGAGCAACACTCCGATACGGAAACTACAGAACCCAAACCACCAAAAAAGAAAATCAACCTTCTGCAGGTGGCATCATCTGACTCAGATAATGAACATGAGCATGCATTGGGCTGCACTGCTTTGGATTGTTATCAAGCAGAACCCATCATCAGCATGGATGCATGTCCTCTGGAATGGTGGTTGAAGCATGAAGGGACATATGAATCGTTAGCTCATCTGGCACGTAAATATCTTGCAACACCGGCTACAACAGTACCATGCAAACGCCTGTTCTCACTTTCAGGTGACATTGTAAACAAGAAGCGGGCAGCATTATCTCCTGCAAATGTAAACAAATTTATCAGAGATTTGCTGAACAAGAAGTAGGACTGAGTGGACTTATAGGCTCTAAAGTTTTACATTGTTTTATTTTTAATGCCGTTTTTTTTGTACATAATTCTACTTTTGCAAGTTCAACTTTCATGATAAAGAGATTGCACTACGGTACTTGTATTAGGTGCATTGAAATATACTATTTCTTTTGTTTTTTACAGTGCAAATATTTGTACTTAAAAACATAAAATGAGCACTGTACACTTTGTATTCTGTGTTGTAATTGAAATCAATATATTTGAAAATATAGAAAACATACACAAATATTTAAATAAATGGGATTCTAGTATTGTTTAATCACATAATTAATAACGATTAATTTTTTTAATTGCTTGCCAGCCCTAGTTGATGTATGCTATTCTGTAGCTAAATGTTTCTCGTCAATATTTATCATTTACATAAGGGTTTTCATTGTCCAAAAACAGTACAAAACCATTAACTAGTCCATACTCACAACACCCTGTAAGGTAGAGAAGTGGTTGGTATCCTCATTTTACATGTGGAGAAACTGAGTCCAGAAATGTTAAGTGACTTACCCAAGGACATGAAGGAAGTCAAGGTTCTAGGGTTTAAAGGTATAATATTAAACTATATTGGCTAGCCTGAAACAAATAATGCCTTCTAAAACTCTAGTCAAGACAAGGCAAGTTGTATTTTAGTGTATGTTAAACTGGTCATATCAAAGATCTATGGGGCAGATTAGCATAAAACTAGAGTTTTAGAAAGTGTCCATTAGACTGAGCAAACAAACAAGATCTAACAACACAGCTTTCAATCTTAGTCTGGACAAAGTTTCAGTGGTGGAAGAACTCTGTGAATTCCTGGTTCCCAACATAGTGCTCAGCCCATTAGGCCACGAAAGACAGGTTTCTATTGGGGAAAACTGGGGGAGGATTGAAAATCAAGCGTATAATGGAAAGCTAGCTCCGACCTTAACTACAGAGTGGCTACCACTGTGATATAAGGATAAACGTTCATAGCAATAATCAAAAAGTGTAAATTACAGCAATATGTACATGTGTTTTAAATAATTTTTTTAATTGTTGAGGCAGTAATACTTGGTTCATGGAACTGCAATATACAGAGAGGTGAAATAAATAGCTTATATATATATAATATATATAATATAGCTGGTTTTAAAATATTCCCTTATCATTGGTGTATTAGGTCACTTTTAGTCACTTGAATGTATTTAGCAGCATTCTCCAGAACTGAGCATAATGCAGGATCACAGAGCCGTGACACCTTATGTCATCAGAAAGGTTACAGAAGATCGATGCATTGAGAACTCCACGGAAACTCAATCACTGCCGTACACACCATCTTGTCTCGGGACAGTTTGCAGCAGACAATAAATAGATTACTGCAAAACTGGTGATTTTCGGGGCAGGGTCTTAGTAACTTTGGGAAAGAACTTTGGTTTTCTTTGGTTTTATTTTATTTAATATTAATTGTTTTTCCTCTGGGGATCTGCTTGAAATGTTGTCCGTTCCAAAAAGAGAAATAAGCACCTATGTGTCAACAACAAGAAGTCAATTTAAATAGAGCAGTTCATTTTGTTTTTCAAGTCACAATAAATCCCTAACAGCTTCCCCCAGCGTTTGCCATCCAGTCTTTTATTTTTTTAATTTTTTTAATTATTTTTTAAACACAATGTACAAAAATAGAACTTCTTCCTTATTTTTAATGTAAAAATATTCCTCTGGTGTAGTTTTTTTGTGGTTTATTATTGTGACACTGTTTTTGTCTATCTTTTAACTGGGGTTGGTAGGTCGTATTCTCTTAGTCCTCTTGGTCACTGTGGTGTACTTGAAAGGTTTCTGTAACTCCACTTGACCCTTTGGGTACCTTTTCATAAAATGCACATCTTGTTGGTTTTCCTGGGTCTTGGGCCCTTTTCGTGGCCTTCCCTTTTTGGTAAATCCAACGTACCAGCCAGAGTATTTCGCAGACATCAGTGCTGTGTAGTTGTTTTCTAGGACTTTTTCAATGAAGACACACTCTTTGCTGGTGCCATCAGGCTGCAAAAGGGAAAGAAGATTCATTTCAATCAGTTGCAAACCCCTTGGCCAAATAGCAATTTTGCATAAAAGAGCAATTACAGGATCTGATCCTGTTCTCTCCTGCTTGCAGTCCAGTAGCTGGAAGGGGGGGTGGGGAAGGAATATCAGTTGAAATATTCAACATGAACCATTAACACTATTGTTTGATTCAAGGGTGCCTTTTGTTTTGTTTTCTTTCTTTTTTTTTTTTTAAACACTCCTAACACAGGGATCTAGTTTTTGTAGGGAGATTTTCAAAGACACAAATACCAAGTAGTCACCTAACTTCGTAAACCTCCCCCATTGTGGCCTGTCCCAATAAAACATATCCCTCTGTGAAGCATACATCAGAAGAGCTACTTGCAGGAATCTTGAACAGGGTGAATAACAACACTTAATGTTTGTTTAGAGAAGTCCTAAATTCTCAGCAAGCTGGGGTGTCAATCTACCATTTCGAAGCGGGGTAGATCAAAGAGCATTAGGGAACTTTTAATGCACAGCAGCAGGGTCCACAAAAACGCTTAGTGTGCGGCAGGATAGTGCAGAATAGATTTACACCCCTGCTTGCCATGAACTAAGTATTCATTTAGTCCAACCCCCAGAATTTAGACTGCTCTTTTCAAAAATGCTTTAGGAGTTAGATGCCCAACCACCATTGAACCCACCACACCCATGCAAGATGGGGAACTTCTCCCACTAAGGTGCTTTTGAAATTTCATCCTTAATTTCTAATGCACTGCCCATTGGCAACCCAAACATTAACTAGCCATACAATTCCTGGGAGGTGCAGATTGGTATTCTCATTGGAGAGATGGGGAGCTGAGCCCCAGAAAGGTGCTGAGCGCCTAGATATCCCACTGACATCAAAGGGACATCTGGGTTGCTCAGCATTTTTGAAAATCTGGCTATTTACTTACGTACCAATTTTTCAAAATCTCGTCTCAGGCTCTTTATTTCAGTGCCGAACTGCAGAACCTAACTTTTGGCCTCTATTTTTATTTTTAATCTTGGAGTAAAAATGGACACCCAAACATCAAAGAACTTACTTTTAAAAGTTTACCTTTACATCACTTTACTATGGCAACTCAGGCTCCAGACGGTGCCATCATCAGAGCCAGAACTGGAACTCTTAGGCCTGTACTCAGAGCACTAGGCTCACTTTCTCAGGAAGGTCTCCTAAGCCTCCTTTTCAAGGGCAATCATTATAATGGAGGATGGGGCATTTCTACTAGAAATTCAGATGCCAAACATCTCAACATTTGGGACTAATGCTATTGAGGGTTTTGGTTCAGCCCAGTTTACAGTTGGAACCATTTGCAAAATTCTAAACCAGATCTGGATTTGGAACTCCAGCAGCATTTTGATCTGTGGTTTAGATTCAGGCAAATCTCTAATTTATACAATGCATGCAGCAGCACTGCAAGAGTCACGGCATCACATAATAGGATATTTAAGTATTGCAGCCAAGTGGAAATCCTACAAACACTATAATCCTATGCCAGAATATATTGCTATTTTACCTTTAACGGCTGAATAACTGGAACAGTCCATGAAACAAATCACAGGTCAGATGATGCCTCCTGTATCAAGTCTTTCTTTAATTTCTTTTTCTTTTCTAAATACATCAAAACTATAACTATCCATCCCATCTTTGGAAATATTTACAGGACCTTCACAATAGTGTTATGATCTGGGTGAAACCTTGTTATGGGCTGAATTAATACCCCATTGAGATTGATAGGTGTGAACTGACCCTTCAATTAACATACCTGTAAGCGTAAGTACCACCTAAGACAAAAGGTGTGTGTGAACCTGTGGAGGATCTTTTGACTGAGCATTCTTTTGGATGGGGAAGGTCGGGGGATGAGAGATCTCGGAAACTGAGGTCAGACAAGAACAGAGTGAGAGAGGCAGCTAAATGCATGTCACTGACCCTGGGTAGAGGTTTTTCAGGTCAGGGTGCAGGCTAAAAAAAAAAAAGCACTCTTGGTGCTGTGAGAAAAAGAAGCTGTTTCTTGCTATTTTATTCCTTCTGTGTTCCAAGACACAGGACTTCATACATTCTTTGTATATATACAAAACAGCATCAGAGAAATGCCTGACTACCACCACTTTCTACTCCCAATTCGAACACCCACAAGCCCCCAGACGTCAACTAGCTGCTCATGTCAAAAAGGGGCAAAACCATAAACAAAATATGGAACATTATATAGGGCCTAATCCACAACTCGCTTAAGCGAAAGGAAAAATTCCCACTGACTTCAATGGGAGCTGGATTAGATTGCTACAACTAATTAATAAATAATATAGGGTTTTTCATCTGTAGCCCTCAAAGTGCTTTCCAAAGATTGGTAAGCACCATATAAGAAGTTGCTTATACGACACTGAATAACTTATACGTAGAATTATTACTACAATTGCCTGTGAACAAACAAAACAGTCAAAGCCCTTTCAGTCCTTAGCAAATTAATTCTCCAAATGCCTGAGAAAAATAAAATTAACATGTCACTGCACAGAAGCTGCAGCAGATCACAGGAGGCAAAGGATTGATCACAGAGCTCTGGCAGAATAATCGCTATGTATGTCTGAAAACGGGCCAGGTGGAACAGATGGGAATAGCACCAGCCATTCACCTCCAGAGACATGAGCACAGAGTAAAACTGGTACTCTTCAGTCTGCTCCCTTCTAAACGCTTGTCTAGAAAATGGTTGCAGAGCTTGGTACAATTTGTCAGATGCTGTTAATCTCAGAATCTGAGTCAAGAGAAAGGCACAGCCAATCTGAGCTGGTTTAGAATTCATTAGACCTTTGATCTCGAAATTATTTTGTATGAGCTACCAAAATCAGCTGTAACTCAGAGTCACTGCAACCCAGGCTGGATTCAGAGAGGCAACCAAAAGGGAAAGGCTCCATAATTCATCACTAATCTCCAGAACTATCCATTCCCCCTTAGATCTTCTATTCATGGATGCATTTATGTCATTTTAAACTTGAAACCATTAACATATAATCTTGTCAAAGCCTTTTGTTTGCTACACAAACTGTATAGTACCAGTCTCCTTAAGAAGGTAAGGGGAGATCATAAACAATTCTACAATAGCAACACAGAATCATACGAGGGAAAAGTTTGAGAAGAGGCCCAGAAATATACATTGCCCACCAAATATACATAATCAGGAGTCCATGCACATTGACAGGGGTTGAAGCCAGCTCTGCTACTGACTAGCATCCTACATATTTGGGAAAGCATAAAGGTCATATTTTATCATCTATAATTTTGAGCTTACAAATGCTTTGAGGAATGGCAGGGCTGTGCAAAACCCAGTGGTTTCAGTTCACCGGGGCTCATCCTTTGAGTTCAGAGTTCAATCAAAACCACAGCGAGAAAACAGATGACACTGCAGAATTCCACCAGGTTTCAATGTGAAGCCAGAAACAGCCCCCGGTTCACTCAAAACTGGGCCCGGCACATACCTTTCAACAATTAATACAATTTAAACACTAATGTGGCTGAGTCTCAAGTTCACACAAAATTAGGTGCTGATGAACCAACCAAATTCCTTCTGAGCTATTAGGTATAGCAGGGAATTGGAAAGCTCATTTCCCCTACATTTGCAGAAAGGTCCTGGATTTGACCCATGACCTTGTTGCTATGAAAATTTGACCACTTTTAATATATCTATTTTGGGGCTTTCTGCTTGCACTGCAATGTCATTTTCTTGTGAAACATTTAGACATACTCAGGGATGAGACTGGAATGAAAAGAAGAAAATGTTGGGGTTTTTAAAATTATTATTAAAGGTATTTTCTGTGTTTATGTCTCGAAATATGCCAGCAGAGTCTACAGAAGAGCAATGAAGAGTAGGGAGAGAGGATACTACTTCAGGCCAGGTTCAGGGCTAATTTGAAGCAAATAAGGTCCATAAAAATAAATTTAGCCTGGAAAAGAAGGCACTAAATCATATAACAACGTGAAATTAAGGTGGCATGTACACGTACTTTAAGATAATTCATGGATAACGAACAGAAATTGCTTTTCTCCAAGTAAATCATTCTTATATGTGCTAGGGCATGTTGTAGAGACAGACAGATGATTTTATAGCATCTGTTATAAACCCCGATAGACTGGGAATATAGAACATAAATCACTTATATAGAAGGGTCTCTACATCATGTAATCTGTCCCTGAGATAATCTATTAGTGAAAAAGCAATTTCTATTCATCCTTTAGGGATTATTAATAAAGTAATTTATAAATGTCACCTTAATTTCAACAGTTGCCACTCATTTAAGGCCCAGTTCTGTTCCCATTTAAATCAGTGACAAAACTCTCATTGGTATCAGGCCCTCATTGTATGAATATATGAGCATGTCTCTTGTCAAGCCAGAGCATGTCATCAATATGGGGCCAAGCTGACTTAGTGTAACTGCATTGCCTTCACTGGAGACACAACAGGGAGGGAACTGGCTAATTCAATTCCAATGCACTTCAACTGAACAAAATCCCACCATCCTCCTGGGAAGTCAGCTGAAATATTGAAATTAAAGCAGTAAAATACATGACTGGAGTCCTGAAGGAGTCTAAGGTGTCTGATGCACAAAAAATTGTTTTGGTTTCTCTCTATTCTCCTCTCATTCCAATCAGATTCTGTAGTCTAAGGGACAATCCATCCAACCAACCGCCCGCCTCCAGGGATGCAGATGGTCCAACACACAGCAATATTGATGCAGTTCCCTTACACAGAAGAAGAGGGTAGGAACTGGGGAGTCAGAAAAGAGAGATTTGACACCCAGTGCACTGTGTTGGTTGGGGGATATTAGTGCAGCAAAAAAGCTAAAAGTTCCACCGGTTCACAGAACTTCCAGTCTTTTGGGAAGGTGGGGGGGGGGCAAGGGTGCTAGTGCCAAAGAGCCTACGCTGAGTTATCTGCTGAGAGGATCCTCAGTCTGGAAGGTGGGTCCATTTCCCTTCTTCCAGT